TTTGGAAAGGGAGATATCGTAGAAAATCCGGCGCTAATCATTTATAGTGTGTAGTTTGGCTATTAAGTTCCAGGGTCTAAATTGGAGCCACAAAAGATGTAAAAAGGTCCGTTCAGTATGACGGGTTTTGGAGTTTTCATGTTTTAAATAGTCATGAGTTTTATCAATTTGTTTACCACAGACATGGGTTCTTTATAGATCGGGACTATTCATTACTTTAAAACCATGACAAATGTGGTTTTTTTGGTCTTTTCCATTAAATTTGGCCCACACACAAATAGTTTTACAGCAATTTAAATAAAAGTCTTGTATTGGTTCAAAATAATAATCTACGAAATAAATAAAAACAGTATGGAGAACAGACAATGGAGAAAAACATTTATTATATTGTCTGTGGTATTAGGCTATGCTATATTTTCTCAGAACTGATTTTCACATTATAAAATACCTGTCACTCGCAGTATTCCAGTAAAACGGTCATAAAGTGAATTGATTCAATGAATCATTGATTGAATAATAGATTAATGATGTATTTTAACCAGAACAAGCACGAATGTTGAGGGTAGAATGCTAGTTTGTTATTGGTCAATAGATAGCCACTACTTATTTGATCGGATTATCACATGAGTAATAGCAACACAGGATATGCTGAAGTTTAAACTTGTATATCAACTGACTAGTCATATTTACGTCACGTTATTTCCAACTATTGTACTTACCGAATAAAATGTGAATGAAAGCTCGGTAGAATATGTGACGCAATTATCTATATCTATAATTTATTTTTGTAAAAAAATACAACCGACTTCAAACGCTCTAAAAAGAATGAAATAATTTCAATAAAGTAAACTTTTGTATTAGGCAAGCTCACGTATTTTAAGTCGGCACGGCTCGATGATGATTTTTGATACAAAATTGAAAGAGGGTGTCCATATTGCAGGTGGCTATCTATAACTAAATGTGTTAATCTGCATGTCTTTTTTAAAGTTATGCGTTAAGTGTTATTTTATTACCGTAATCAGAGATCGGCATTATAGTGGTATTAACGAGTATCTTTAAAAAGATTATAACGCATTTAAATGTTTCTAACTTGGAAAAGTAACGTTTTAATACTAAACTAGCTTCTTTTCCCTGTCATAATATAAAACTAAATTATTTTCCTATTCATATAGAACATTTGTGTGTGTTATTTTCATAATGCATTTATTCTGAAGTAAACATGAAATACAAGAAAATATTTACTTTAATATATAAACAAAACAGTTCAGTATGTTTTTTATATATTTATGTTATCCAGCTACAATTTATTTATTTTCAAAATACACACACAATAGGTACTTTATTTCAATCATATTTGCAGTTTGAGCCGCGCCGACTTGAAATACGTGAGCTTGCCTAATTAGTCCAGTCAATGAATGATCCAAAAGTAGGTGTAGAGTGCGTGAGCAGGTAACTAAGCGATTCCTTCAGAAACTTGTTCAGGGGGCTTAGGGTGTTAACATACCAAAAGTCCTGACTCCTAGGTGGTGAGCCAGGGGGTGGAGGGGGGGAAAAGGGGGGGGGGAAAAGGTACGCACTTTGGGTTTTTTGATTATATTTCGAAAACTATCAACTTTTTGTATACTATAGTAAATTATAAAATTGAAGAAGATTAAATTTTCTACAAGAAAAGTATATAATGTGTTTATTTTGGTTCAACAGATTACGAGTTATAACTTATTTAATTGATATCTTATTAAAATACTCCTTCCATAAGAAATACATGTAAATTAGTATGCGAAATGGGGCGAATCCTATCCGCCCAAAGAAAATATAACTGATATTCTGGAAATATTGACAAAATTTCCAGTAATTTGACACTTTAATCATGAAATTTTGTCAAAAATTAAAGCGAGGGTGAGCGTTAAAAATGGGATGATTTAAGGTTTTTTTTTATATTTCCAATAAAAAAACACCAAAACTCGAAATTTTGTTACCTCGCCCTCGCCTTAATTTTGGATCAATTTTAATGATTAAAGTGTCAAATTACTGGAAATTTTGTCAAGATTTCCAGAATATCATTTATATTTCCTTTGGGCGGATAGGATTCGCCCCATTTCGCATACTAATTTACATGTATTTCTTATGGAAGAAGATTTTAATAAGATATCAATTAAATAAGTTATAACTCGTAATCTGTTGAACCAAAATAAACACATTATATACTTTTCTTGTAGAAAATTTAATCTTCTTCAATTTTGTAATTTACTATAGTATACAAAAAGTTGATAGTTTTCGAGATATAATCAAAAAACCCAAAATGCGTACCTTTCTCCCCCCCCTTTTTCCCCTCTCCACCCCCTGGCTCACCACCTAGGAGTCAGGACTTTTGGTATGTTAACACCCTAAGCCCCCTGAACAAGTTTCTGAAGGAATCGCTTAGTTACCTGCTCACGCACTCTACACCTCATTCCTTGACTGGACTAAATACAAAGGTTTACTTTATTGAAATTATTTCATTCTTTTTAGAGCGTTTGAAGTCGGTTGTATTTTTTTACAAAAATAAATTATTTCATGATTTTTAGTGACTGTATAATTTTTTATATATTAATTACTTGAGGATTTTTGATAAGCAAAACTGTTTGAAACAATTATAAGTTCCACAGAACAATCATTATTTTAAAACTGCTTGAGTCACCTGTTGAGGTTACATAATCAATGGGTATGAAAATACACAGCTTTAGATATTCCTTAAGAAAGAAAGGTCCATTACATTAGGCCTAATGAAAAACTAATTGTCTTTTCTAGATACATTGAAATGTCAGACATCATCGTTTCCTGCAATCGGTGTACTTTTACATTATAAAAAGAAATACAGTAACGTCTCAAGCCTTTTGGAACAATATGAAAGTTATTCCTCAACTACCAGCGACTAAAAAATCTCTCAAAAGTGGAAAATTGGTCGTTAACACCATAGTACCTTTCGTATAGTACCTTTGGAAAATATTATATGAAAGATTGGTTCAGCTAAAAGTGGTGTAAGTCATGTAGGGGGTTTTGTTTGCTCAAGATATAGCCTAGTCGAAATTGCAAATCATCTTCCTCTAGGACTTTCCGAAGCAGGCATAATAGTATTGACATGTTATAGTAACTGGGTAGAGAATATTAATAAACATGCCACATCTGCAAATGAAATATGTAGGTATATGAAAGATTGGTTCAGCTAAAAGTGGTGCAAGCCATGTAGGTGGTTTTGTTTGATCAAGATATAATAGCCTCGTTGAAATTGCAAATCATCTTCCTCTAGGACTTTCCGAAGCAGGCATAATAGTATTGATATGATATAGTAACTGGGTAGAGAATATCAATAAACATTCCACATCTGCAAATGCATGTTTAGTAATTAAAATATTCAACACTTTTAAAACAATTGACGATCATGCACTGTCACACTTCTTAGGTCGTGTAAGGAATAATTGCATTTGATTTATATTTAGACCTGTTTTACGAATGCTTTGGTTTTCACAATACACCTTTATTTGTCAATATCATACAGCTATTCACTGAAACATATATGTTTTTGTAAGTCAGAATATTCAATACTAAAAACAGAATTACTGTATACACAAATCAGGTCAAACGTTGAAATACATTTTTTATAGTAACCAAAACAAAATGCATTTTTCTCAATGCAATTCATTTAGGCTCCATGGCAAGAAATAGTTTATTGATCAATATGAAGCAACTGTTTCATGAAGAATTGTCTGTAGCTTCATTTAAATGGTTTCAACTAACAGCTGTAGGAATTTTATTATTATTTATTGCCTTCTCTGCACAAATATAAACAATCTGCACAAATGTAAACAAAATAAATATTAAATATTTAAGGTTTTCAGAATTTTTCACCGAAACAAATATTATACTTAAACATAATATATAAGGTACCAAATAGAAACTCTCCTGGTTATTTTGGTGGTGGAACCACACTGATCGGTAAAAGAATCACAGAGAAATTGGTGAACATACATAGAAAAAAAAAACATCGCCACAAACAAATTGAGAACCTCCTCCTTTTGTTGGTAGTGGGGAAGTCGGTTAATAAATAAAAGAGGAACTATGTATGTGTGTGTGTGTGTATGTATATACGTTATGGACTCCGAAACCGCTCGACAGATTGTAATGAAACTTTCAGGCATTATTAAGCATCTTTCAAGGATGGTTCGAGTGAAGTTTGGTGCAGATCTGTCAAAAGGGCTCTGCCTCAGAGGGTTTTAAGTGGGCCAATGTCAGACTTTTTGATCTACAATGTTTACAAATAAATATAATTTAAAAGCAGATGTTTACTTTTACCAACTGTTTTGTAGGTTTGAATAATTACAACATTCTGTATTAGCATTAGTCATGATTTGAAATAGTGCCACAGTGTTTCTACAGAGTGCAGCACAGAAAACTATTTTACTTTTGAATAAGTCCAAATGTATTAAACCCCAATCGCAGCACACCTGTGCACACAACAACTTTTAAATTCTCCAATGTTAAATATTAAAACATAAAAACCTTTATCAAAGTATTATAAACAATAAAAGGGATGACTTTTTACAATTTATAACAACAGTTAATTTGCAATCAAAAGGTGAGTGAGCGTAGCGAACGAACATTAACCTGGAGGCGAGTTAGCGTAGCGAACGAGCTAATCTGAAAACAAGTGAGCGCAGCGAATGAGCTCCAACCTAAAGGTGAGTGAGCGTAGCGAACGAACTTCAACCGGGACGTGATTGAGCCATGCGAATACTTATGAAGTTAAACGGGGCAAAGCCCGTGGGTACAGCTAGTTAAATATAAAAATGTAATTTCATATTTCGTTTTTCAAGTTGATCAAATCCTATAGCTACTTTTATACCACTTTCCTACTTACTTTAGGTCTTCCTTGTCTAGGCCACCTACCCTACACCTTCGCTACTGTGTAATTCCCTCACACATCAACACTACTTCAAACCCCAATCCCTACTACCTCTACTCACTGTAGTGTTGATGACTCTATCATGATGCTCCAGTTGCTGTACCATAGCCTCTACCCTCTGACGGAGAGCCTCCAGTTGCACCTGTAGATCGCGCACCTGCTGGTCCCTGCGCACCTCCAGCGCCACCAGAGCACTCGCGGAGACCACCACCCCTATGACGGCGACCACCAGGGCTACGCCCGCGACCACGGCGGCCCGGCAGCCCTTGGTCTGTTCAGGGTGCGCCATCCCTGCCACTCGCGCTACACTAGCCCCGCCACGACACTGGCTCTTCGCACACTGATAATAGACTGACGGGCCGCGGGAGGGGGTTATCAATGCGACCTAGCGGTGACCTTTGGATCACTCAATTGGCGCAGGGACTCCCCGCTAATTATATACTGGAGAATATTGTAAATACTTTTGGGGTTATTTTATGCTTAGGTATACTAGCTGTTACCCACGAGCTTCACCCCGAATGACTTCATCTATTTCTATACTTATTTAAAATACGCAAGCAGATTTTTTGTGACAATTACTCCTCCGAAACTACTGAACCGATTGTCATGTTTTTGGTGTCATTGGAAAGAGCGTAAGGTGAAGCTGTGCAGGAAACTTTCTTTTTAGGGAAATAATGAGAGAGTGAGGCTCTGGAGCCCTTTAAAGATTCGTATTTCTCCATAAGATTAACATTGGAACCAAAAATTGTTATGAAAATCCAGCTGTTGTCAGAAATCAAAAGTGAGAAGAAAAGCATGTTAATTGTAAACAGTCAATAAGTTTGCTAATTTAACAGTTTGCTACAAACATTTGCTGACTTGGTTGAAATTCTTTTTTTTAACACCTGTAATACAGTGATACTTAGCAATTATTGCTCGAATTCGAGCAACAGGGACACTAGTAGGGTATGTTTTATCTATGCTAGTACGTATTATTGATTGGTTAAGTTAAGCTGATGTAAACCAAACAGAATATAGTAATACAGACAAATAATTCCACGTAATAAATTAAAAGAATAACAAACAAATAAGTACAGCTGAGGTATTTTTAACATTTGGTATATGGAAAGTTCCCTTTAGAAAGCAATACGACCTTAAAGGGCAATTTATGAAATAATGGATAGTTTTGCGCAAAGTTTCTCGTCATGACGAACATTTTAAGTATACTAGTTAACCGCCCGTGCTCCGCCACGGGAATATTGTCAGCAATAAAAGAAAAAGAAATAATAATCAACAAATACTGTTTATCTTTGTATTTTATTTAGGGGTCGTTTAATTTTTTACATGAAATAGAACTGATAGTTTGCCTGTATAAACTATTTTATGTCAATCAAACCGATATATTATTTTAACCAAATGAATGTTTTATATTAATTCGTGTTTCATTTGAAAAATAAATAGTATACGAACTGGGCAATGCTGATAACCTAATAAGCAGCTATTTATGCTATTAAGATAATTTGCTCAAGTATATTCCTATATTTGTCGTTTTTTTTATTACATTTGTTGTATGGAATAAAGATAGTCACTTAGCCTACATGTAAATCACGCATCAGCAGTTGGTCGCATTTCACGAATCTTTGACCCATACTGTGAGTAAAAGCTGTGTTTACGTCGTATATATAAAGTTGGGCATACTTTGTTCAATGTTAGAGGGTACGGTCCAATTTGATGGAAATGAGTCGTGGATTTTAAAACTATGTAGACTACCAATACCAGAAAGATGTTGATTCAAGTGAGACTTAGAACTGGCCATTTCAAATGCAGATTTGTATTATATTTTACTCAAATAGTTTTTTGTCTCTTTTGACCCTTAATACTTTTTTTATAGTCGCTGTTGATAAGATTTTCCATAAACTCAAAATGTTGATAAGGAGTTCATTTTACCTTCCCATTGTGACAACATAAGGCAAAAATATTTGTGTCCCAGTTAGTCTGTTCTGACTCGAAATTCATAGATTTGAAGTAGTGACAAATCCAATCTAACGACCCTAATTCAAAAGAGTTGGTATTTTTTTGTAGGGACTTCCAAAGCACATTTAACACCAACACTGTTCTTTACCTTTTTAGTTCGATGGTTCTCTACATTTTTTTTCGTTCGGTATGTCTCTTTACGCCCGGTTAATGATTTCATTTTCTTTTTCTTTTTGTACTTTTCACACCCTGGGGTTAATGATAAAGTTTTATAACGCTATAATGACCTGAGTCAACATTGCCATTAAACATCAAGTCACATACTTCTTCGTCAGAACCGAATGGTAAGGCACGGTTTCTCAAGCAACTTCCCTGTGTACTTGAAAAAAAAATTCACTGATATATTGTAGTTCCACATATCCCAGCGTACTCGCCATCTCGAGAAGGTAAAGTTTGGTACCACTCCTAGTAATCGTGGTACCACTGAACGTCTAACACTGATCTTGAGTAAGATTCGTCACCTACTATAAAATGTTTGTATGTTTCCCACTCATTAGCAATTATATGTACAACTTGCAAGCGGATTTCCCCATGGCCGTATTTCCCATCTGGTGGCCGTAGAGAATAAATTATATTGATCAAAACAATAAGTTTCAGTTCCCTACTATGGGTATTATTTCACATTCCATACTCAAACTTAAACTCAATTACCACTTTCCTTGAGATCACTTTGCAGGAAAACTAAAACATTTCAAAAATAAGTTAACAAATACACTTTCCTTGATCAAAATCGTGTGTTTATAAACAGAAACTCCAAGTTTAATAATTGAATACTGAAAGTGAGGTTATAAAAATAATAACAAATGTCTGACAAACATTAAACAGCTGACGAATAATTTATAAACTGTGTATTATATTCTTCAATAAGAATTGTATTGACTCGACCTTTGAAGGGCTGTAGGTCGTAGCCCTTAGAAAAAACGTAAGTTCTAAGGAAGTTCGGCAAATCTACACACTATCCCCTTTAATTTGAGACATTAATCTTGTAGATCGGTCCAGTAATTACTGAGAAAACAGTGTTACAACTGTGTATTAAATATATAGATGTGTTGGGTAACTGCGTTGCGTTGAAAAAAGGTTGGAACACACTTATAATAAAAAATGACTAAAGAGCAAACCACTCACTGATCAAATAATCGCAAGGAACAGACGCTTCTGACAAAATAGGCCCGAGTGATAGACGCTGAGCGGGGGATAATCGCTCGAGCTCTAGCGATCATCGCTGAGCGTTAGACCATAGATAAAACCATAGATAAAACAGCACCAGACGCTTCTGGCAAAACGGGCCTTAAAGTGTGCCGCAGTTCGCCAAATTACTGCTAGGTGTCACCATTATACATCGATGGGTGTCACTAGCCAAAGTGCGCCGCAGTTCACCAACTCGCCGCTAGAGTGTACTAGTGTGTAGCAGTTTACCTAGTAACCGCTAGGTGTCACTAATACAAAGAACATGTAAGTTTATTTATTTATTTGCAATCTAAAACTATTCAGGCACAATAAACCAATTTAGTGATGACAAAAGAAAACTACATTGATAAGCTAAATTTTTAAAGGACAATATATTGCTATTTAAATCCGTTGAAGTTTACTATGAATCCTCTGTATCCACCGACACTCGCAGGGAGTTTGGAGTGTCTAGTAAATGACTACCGCGCTTGGCTTACCCTTCATAATTGTGTTGTACTATATTGAGAAATTTTATTCTTCTATTCTATGAGAAGCCGAGAGTCGTGTCCCTAACCTGGGGCCGATGATTGGCTTATAAGAAATATAACGTCTCAGATGAGACTGACTTGACCTTACAGGCAGAGACTGATCCTCTGATTTAGACAGACTGAGACAAGTTAGTTAGTACCATCGATGAGACTCTGACTGTAGGTAGACTAGTGATGATGGGAGAATCGAACACAGTGAATTCGGAGCCTCCCCTGTATTCTATTCGAACACATTTGAGTATACAAAGGATGTAAAATGAGTTTGTGATTCTTTTTTCATAATGCAATCCGTTTTTTTAGCCACTGTTATTTCGTTTTACACTAATTAATTCATTTTATTCAATGTAATTTTAAATTATACGAATTTTAAAAGTACATTTATTTTGACTTATAATTTCATATGGTCAGTTACAGTTCTTATTAATGTATTATTTTCTATTATATTAACTAATAAATTAATATCTTTAATAATATGTCTTATTCATTTGTATAGATAATTTACATCAGATATGCAAGTTTTTCGCGATGTAACTATAAAAAATCTGTTGTAGCTATAGCTATAATAAATTCTATTCAATTGCCCTCCACCAGTAGTAACCTAATATTTTAAATAGCCAATATAGGCTAAATGTTAACGATTAATAATTTTAAACAGTTATTAAGAGCTGTAAATTATAGGGCTAATGGTAAAATTATAACAAGTAGGTAAAAACAAATTGCTGCATTAAAAACATTAAATACCGATACTCTTACGAATGCTACGGATTCATAAAAGTGCTATGGAACGATATATCGTTGTTTGCGTTTCATCCAAAAAGTGCTAAGCGACGATATATCGTGCCTACGCAACTTTCGATCGTGTGAGTTTAAATGGGTACATCGGTTGTTGTTTCCAAACAGTTGATGTTTTCTTTCGATTCCTGATACGACGGAGATGGAGGCCCGATATACCGTTCCTTAGCACTTATGAGATGAAAAATTTTATTTTTACCGATTTTCTTTATCGCAGTTTCAAGTGAATATTCAAATTTACAAGCGCACACCGGCGCACACTAGACTTTGCCCCCGTGGCAAGCCTAGCACTTTTGGATGAAATAAGTAAATCTCTTTGGAAAATTACAAAAAACAATCCTAGCATCGAAAGGGTAAAGATGCTATGGTTCAAAGCATATTTAGGGGCTGTTTTAGTAAAAAATTGTAAAAATAAAACCGATAAACTGAACTAAATAGTTATTATTGTAAATACAACGCATACAACACCTTTAGCCTGACAATTTACGAAATGTCAGAGCTCTCACGTTTGAGATATGGCAAAATGGTTAAAAGTCCAGCATTAAATATATCTTAACTTTAATAGATACATTTTCTAAAAAAGCTTATGCTGCTCCACTAAAGAATAAGACAGGGTTGGTAGTTACAGAAGCCATTAAAACCATTCTACCAAAGGGGGTTTGAAATATTCAATCTGACAATGGAAAATAATTTTTTTATCAACATTTCAACAAACTAAATATTAATCACTATCACAATTTTTCTACAACTAAGGCTGCAATTGTGGAGAGGTTCCAGAGAACTTTAAAGAATTGGTTATATAGGGAATTTAAGTGCTCAGGGAAGTTATAAATGGTTTGATTTACTTTCAAAGTTAATTAGGAAATATAATAATAAGGTGCATAGATCTATAGGAATGAAGCCTATCCAAGTGAGTGTTAAGAATGGTAAATATGAC